CTGGCCACCCAATTCTCCAAACCGTAATCCCCTTGATTATAATATGTGGGGCGCATTTGAGTTAGAGACCAACAGATATTCGTTAACACCATAGATGATTTGAATGCAAGGTTATGGTAGCATTCACCAACTTAAACAAGGAGACCATCTACAAGAGTTACAAAAGCTTCTGAAGTTGTCTGGAGGCCGTGGTTGAAGCTAATGTCGATTTTGTTAAATAAATTTATTCTTTAGCATTTCAAGATACTTTTGTGTAATTTTGACAAATATATCTGTTAAAAGTAGATTATAAGTTTTTAGTAAGTCTTATTTTAATTTTTGCTTCATTTAGACGACAATTTATCCATCGCAAACTGATCACGCGCGCCGCACGCACGCATATGTATATACACATTATTTACACTGTGCAGAGTTTTGTGCTCATCTTTGTTATCATATTCACGCCGTTGTTCTCGGACCAGTGGATAAAAGCGTTACTTGATTGATCCAAAAAGTGACTTAACCCAAGAAATGGTAAGTTCAATGCCTGACCACAGAAAGAACAGAAAAAAATGTTCGTATTTCAGCTGCCGCTGCGAATGCCAAGCAGTACAGCATGCCGTTTTCAAATTTCTGACGGAGTGAATTGCGTGATGGCACTCCTTTTCTCATAGACGGCGTTCAACTGACCCTACTATGCTGTGCAGTCGACAATATCAAAAACAAACAACGAGCATGCGCGAAATTAAAAATATAAAAAGGCGAAAATTATATATATATATATATATATATATATATATATATACAACGTGCGATGGGTATATATATATATATATATATACACTCAGAGACACAGACACACACACATATATATCCAAATGAGAAGTAAAATTTCTGTTCGTAGCATTTAAAAAGTGGTCAATACAAAGTAGATGAACATATTATTATTATTTTTTTATTGTAAGAGATTATAAGAAAACATGATTAAAATCGCTACAAAATAGCTTTCGGGTTTCGGTAACTTTTTGACTCTTCATGAAATGGCAATTAAGTGGTGATTAAATGATATACACACATCAGTAAAAGATTTGTCACTCATCTCATTGATGTTATCTTCAGCATCCCGACTCCAGAGTTTCGTAGACGGTCCACTATGTGTGTGTGTGTGTGTGTGTGTGTGTGTGTGTGTGAAAAGAAAGCGATAAAAAGGGAATGCTTAATAACGTTACAGTCTGAAATCAATACTCCTGGTCAAAAATGTTAAGGTCCTATTTTTTTTTTTTGTTTTGTTGTATTTCTCTCTGCCTATTCGGATTAAATTTTGACAATGATCCAATTCAATTTTTCCAAGGAAACCATCTGGGAATTGAAATCACCACCATATATATATATATATATATATATATATATATATATATATATATATATATATATATATATATATATATATATATATATATATATATATATATATATTGGGGAAATTTAATGACAAAGTCTACTTGTGATGCGTTTCGTCCTTCAGAAATTCATGGGAGTTATTTTATTATATTGGTAGAACTACACATACGCATGGCATAGGTGTGTTGGAAATTTAAAATTTCTTTTTAAATTCCCAGCACCCATCTGCATATATATATATATATATATATATATATATATATATATATATATATATATATATATATATATATATTCATGAATTATTCACAAAAAACAAAAGCAAAGGTTAATGATTTAATTGGCGAGAAATGCATCATCGCAAACAATTCAAATAATATACAAAAACCTCCGAATCCTTTATGAATGAAATGATCCTTGTTTCCATAAATTTCTGCCGTATTAGTTCTTATTTTTACTACAAGCTTTCGTCTGTTCCTACAGACATCTTCAGGTATAGAATAGATGTTGTTCTTGTTTTTTCTCTTAGTCATAAGAGGACAACGAAAATATATGTATTGTTGTATCCGAAAATGCTATTGAAAATGAGTTATTGTTTTTGGAGCGCGCAGTAGCAACGCTGAGTTTGATTTTAAATTTTTAAAGGTTGTGCGTTCATATAAATATGGTGATGAACGAATTTTTTACTGGTAAATTTTCTGTCAAAGTGGCATGAACTATATTGTTCAATAATTACAGTAATGTCGCACTTATTATCCAAAAGTCCTACTTGGATCAGTTATTTAAATTACGATAAACGTGCAATCAATTTACAAATTCATGAATTATTCACACAAAAACAAAAGCAAAGGTTAATGATTTAATTGGCGAGAAATCCATCATCGCAAACAATTCAAATAATATACAAAAACCTCCGAATCCGTTATGAATGAAATGATCCTTGTTTCCATAAATTTCTGCCGTATTATATATATATATATATATATATAAAAGCAAAAGGAAAAGTTATCTTTGCCGATGGTAATCATTGATAATCTAATTTCTAAAACAACACAGTTGAAGAAAAAGTCACGTAAGAGCCGCTCAACATTAATCCTGTTTTATCTCGCACGTGAAGATTTCTTTGAGAAATGAAGTTATTTTTTTGAACATGCTGGATCATTGGCAATTTATGTCAATGTAGAAGTTTTGAAAATTGTCTTTATATATATACATATATATATATATATATATATATATATATATATATATATATATATATATATATATATATGATGTTTTAAAAAATGAATGCTGACCAAGACACTACTGCGGTTTCCACCACTACTGTCTCTTCAGCTGGTTTATTCAGCAAACCACCCGAAGAGACATAAAGAATGAATGGTAAAAATTTAAAGCTCAAAAATGACGTGAAAAGTGAAAATATATTCTTATGCAATTGTAGGACAAAAATAACTGTCCTTTAAATGGATTATGCCGTACGGAATGAATTGTATATTGTGCCGCAGTGGAACCGTAGCACAATAATATTCATCGGGTTTACTTAGGGTCAGTTCAAGAGTAGATGGTATCATCACACCGCATCTTTTAGAATCCCGGAACGTAGGAACAACAGGAAGCTATCAAACTATTATTGGAGCTTTAGAAAGAAGCATAACAAAAGCCGAAGCATTAAATGAAGTCTATTAAGTATAGACATAATAATCGGGAATAATTGTAGGCTATGCCAAGAAGAGAAACTATCTATAGCAACGTATAAGGAAATCACTGAATTACTGAATGGACTCTTTTTTTTTGTTGTTGTTTACTTCATATTAAGTTTACTAATCCCATGTTATTTCAGCCCTTTCGATTACAAATGCCATTCCCCAACATTCGACAAAGCCCCCACAAACACACACACAAAACGCATCAAACTATTCCTACTAAACAGACTTTCATTTACTGTGTGCCTTCCTTAAAATGCAATCAAAGATGCTGTCGTAAGAAAAGCGATAAAAGTTTATTAACCAAATCTGGAAATGTAACGCCAGGTGAAATCGTTCAGTTGTACTTTCGATAGTCGGACAAATATTGTAAGTTCAGCAAGAAAATATTCAATCTTAGGTTTTTGCTTAACTTCTTTCTTACTTTTTTTCTTTCTGTCTTTTTTTTTCTTTTTTCTCTTTCTTTCTGTCTTTCTTTCTTTTTTCTCTTTCTTTCTTTTTTCTCTTTCTTTCTTTCTTTATTTATTTTTTCTCTTCCTGTCTTTCTTTCTTTCTTTCTTTCTTTCTTTCGTTTTTATCAGACTGCTCCTATATATTTATCAATGCCTGTTCTAATCCGCTGTTTTCAACGACCTCTGACATACTTCAAATCTATCTATCTATCTATCTATCTATCTATCTATCATTGTGTGTTCACAGCTATCTATATATCTGTCATAATGTGCTCATATCTATCTATCTATCTATCTATCTATCTATCTATGTAGCCAGCTAGCTAGTAGTGCTGTTAGTGAGTTCGAAACATTAAATGAAGTCTATTAAGAAATGCTGTAGTGAGTTTGACCCTCACTGCGTGCTCCATGCTATCGGGCTTGAGCCACAATTAAGTTACGCTTAAAAAAATCATCAATGCACCTTCACGTAGTGTAATAGTATGCAGGATTGTCACGCTAGAAAAATTACGACTGATTAGTGAGTTCGATCCTTACTGGGTGCTCCACACATTTGGCCTTGTGCCACACCTATGTTAGAAAATCATCATAGCTCGTGGGAGAAGAGGTGGATTCATACATTTCTCTAGGGTATTTTGCGCCTAAGTGGATATAACGAACCCAACGAGAATTGGAACTCGGCTCTCCGATTAACAATTCCGGGCCATTTATCCATTACACAACCCGGTATTCACAAGCTGTCACACATCCAAGTACGACGTTGATTAACTCCGGTGAGTGTACGGGGACTGGTATTTCAATGCGATGCATCCTTAAGCCGATCATTTTCTGGAAAAAAAATTAATTTGATATATTATAGCTTTCTTTTGAATATTATAAAAATGTATGCGCCTTGACATGTCAACTATTTAAAAAAAAAAAAAAAATGGCGGCTAGACTGGGGAGCAAATAACTCGGCATTGTTGCATGACAACATCTCGCCACTTATCATAAAGACGATGTTGCTAAAGTCTCTGATTATTTTCCTATCTTTTTATTGAAAGATTGCCATCATTTTTTTCAAAGATAAAAAAAAATACTTACAGGCAAGAAGTCCTTCAAACAGGTTCAAATTAAAAAAAAAAGTCTTCAATGAATTTAACGATTCTCCGAATTCTTTAGAAAGCGAATCGCCAACTTGCTGTGAATGTTGAATTAATATATAGAAATACGTCGGGGAAGGCATTGATTGAATAAATTACTTTTTCAAATTATGTTATTTGAATAAATCAAGATTTTTATCTTGAAGAATTTGATACAAGTGTATTTCATTTATAAATTTCTTACTATTTTTCAACATAAAATCAACTTTGGAGGTCGTCTCGTCTTTGTTCAGTGAGCTTGCTTTAAATCGCACATTGGAGGTGGTCTCGTCTCTGTTCAGAGAGCTTGCTTTAAATTGCACATTTTCCATGTTGCCAGTATGAAGAAAGGAGGTTAAATTTCGATATTTATTTCACAGCTTATTTAATTTAATCACTGTCAGATTAAAAAAAAAATGAAAAAAGAAAAATGAGTACGGAATTAAGATAAAGTGTTATGAAAATAAACGGGAACATATCAGCATTTGTGAACAAATGGAATTCCCATGTAAATATCCGGACGTGTGTCTATTTTGGGATTAATTCATCGTGGCGTTTAATTGACTCATATTTACATTTAAATAACACTACAGGGGCTGATATATTATTAAATTAACAAGCCTAATCTAACCTAGTGAAAACTGGATCTACGTTTTTGATTCCAGTATAAACAGTTTATATTGTTGATAAGTTAAAAATATTGAATTATAAAACATTATTCGGACTATTGTCCTCATCTTTGTCGCCACATTTATTACAACGTTTCGGCCGTTGTATGCTCCGGCCTTCTTCTGGTAGTTGGAATGTCGAACTGTACCCTTTATTTTGCTTACTGGGGTAGACTGTTTTAGTTTCACGTGCCATGTTTAATGGTTGTCAGTTATCTATTAATTCCCCTCTCCGCCTTAAACGGGTATCGAACTCACACTCTTTGGGTCCTACAAACTAATCAACGCCTTTATCCACTGCACCATGTGTCCTTGAGGACATCTGTGTAAGAATTTCTGGATATTATAAACCTAATGTCTCAGCAACCATTTTTTTTACCAGTGCTCATATTGCGACAAAGATGAGGACAATAGTCCGAATAATATTGAATATAATAACTCATCTCAGAAATATAGACAGACAAAATAGTGTCTAGTGTAAACCAGGCCTATGTTTACCGTTCTGAATCTGATGTAAAGCTGATTCCTCTTAAGCGGTTAGCATTTTATTCAAGAGTTATCAAAGGGAACTGTTAATAAGTTTAAAATATTGAACCATAAAACAGAATATACCTTTTTTCTTTCTTTCTGTCTTTCTTTCTTTCTTTTTTCTTTCTCTCTCTCTATTTCTTTCTTTCTTTCTTTTTTTTTTTTCTTTATTTCTTTCTTTCTTTCGTTTTTATCAGACTGCTCCTATATATTTATCAATGCCTGTTCTAATCCGCTGTTTTCAACGGCTTCTGACATACTTCAAATCTATCTATCTATCTATCTATCTATCTATCTATCTATCTATCTATCTATCTATCTATCTATCTATCTATCGTGTGTTCACATCTATCTATATATCTGTCATAGTGTGTTCATATCTATCTATCTATCTATTGTGTGCTCACATCTATATATCTGTCATATTGTGTTCATATCTATCTATCTATCTATCTATCTATCTCAGTCTGTTCACATCTATCTATCTATCTATCTATCTATCTATCTATCTATCTATCTATCTATATTATATATGTACTGTGTGTGTGTGTCATAATTCTCATAATATGACCTAAAAATTTCAACTGTCTCTTTCTGGTTCTAATGTATACCGGTCCTATCTCTACTGTTTAGTATCTCGTGCAAAAGGGACTAATTTTAACATTTTGTGTCTATTGTAAACCAGACCCATATCTGCCTATAAAGGCTAATATGAACCAGGCCTTTATCTACTTTTCTATTAATTCATTGTGACTTTGTCCTACAAAACGTGTGTGCGACACCGAAAAGCCCAACATAATCTTTTAATTATCTAACCTAATTTAATTAAGCAATCTATCCGAAGCAATACGAACAAGGTATTTTCAGAGGATTATACCTTTAAAACATTCAAGGAACAGAGATTTGAACAATTTCTTAACGGTTTACTTATTCTATGTGCCATGTCTCTTAGGACGTTGGTGATTATGGCTCTCCACAATGTCCTATCCTTTGTAGTTCTTAGTAAATTTTGTCTTTTAGCTATCCCTCCTAGACTCCGTCCTGCCATCTTTTTACGCAAGATCGTTAGGCAGATTATGCGATGTGTTCCTCTTCTCTTCAATATGCACTGTGTGTGACTTAATTCCCAGGCCCTCATTTCTCAAATAATATGACCTAAAAATTTCAACTGTCTCTTTCTGGTGCTCCGTAAAAGTGTCCATTTTGTTTCCATTTTCTCTAAAACTTCGATATTGCTCAAGTATTAATCCATGTTATTATTAGATACTTCTGTAGAACTACGTTAACGAGGCTTCATGTTTCTTCTTCATCTGTGACAAAATTGTCAATGTTCACTGCCATTTAGGAGGACTGATATTACATAAGAGTTCAGTACTCCTTACTTTGCATCTAACGAAATATTTCTGTTTCTTAATATTTTGCTTCGCTTTTGGGAGGCATTTTTCGCTAACCCAGTGCGCCTTTGGGTTTTTGTGTCGCATTAATCAAATTCTAGCTTAATCTGTTGCATTTAATTTCGCACTATACATTTGGAATTAAACCCTATTAACTATCAGTTAGATAGCAAAGTAAACGGGGATTTATAGCCTTGGATATCATTCAGTCTAAGAGAAGGAAACTGGGAATTCAGTGGAGAAGGCTATGGGCAATTAATTCAAAATCTTTCCCAAGTTTTTCTTCATCTGTGAGATTGGACAGTAGTCACTGCCGTAGCGATTTTCCAAGCGTAGCTTAGATGTGGCACAAGGCCGAAAGTATGGGGCACCCAGTGAGGATCGAACTCACTAGCGAGACAAGCTTGGTAACCATTACACCGCCTCTAGGTGCCCATAGTGATTTTCTAAGCACGGCTTAGATGTGGCACAAGGCCAAAAGTAAGGGGCACCCAGTGAGGATGGAACTCACTACTCAGTCGTAATTGATCTAGCAAGGCAAGCTTTCTAACCATTACACCACGTCGAGGTGCCCAATGATTTCTGAGCATAGATTAGATGTGGCACAATGCCGAAAGTAGGGGGCATCCAGTGAGGATCGAAATCACTGCTCAATTGTAATTGTGCTTGCGATACAAGCTTGCTAACCATTACACCACCTCGAGGTGCCCCAGTAGTCACTGCCGTATAGGAGGTCCAATATTGCATGACAGTTCTTAATGGTATACGATTTAAATACTGCATTAGGAAACGGAGACATGTTGAAATATGTCAATAACTGCTTTAAAAAAGGATGCTTTAATTTGCCTTAAGCGGACGGATATTTGTTCAACATTTCTCAAAGTGAAATGTTGAACAAAAGTTGATAGATTTAAAATATTGAAAAATAAAACTAATTTAATCTAGTGTAAACTGGATCTATCTTCTTAACTTAAAAATATTGAACTATAAAACAGTGTCAAATATAAAACGGACCTAAGTCTACAGTTTTGAATCCATTGTAAAACAAATTCGTCTTAAGCGGTCAGCATTTTATTCCAGATTTATTTTTTATTTTTATTTTAAACTTTATCTGTCATCTCACAAGAAATAATAATATTAATAATAAACGTTTCAGAAAAGGAACCAGCTAACTAATTGATATTAGATACCCACAGGATTCCAATGTGTTATAAAAGCATTTCAAAAACTGCAAAATTAATCTGTCAAATTATAAATTTAATCTTCACAGCGAATTGGAGTTACAAAAATGTGGAAACTTAAAACTACAAATATCCCTGTTGTGATCGGGGTATTGGGTAAGATAAAGGAGGGTGCTGAAAATTATGTGAGTGAAATCCTTGGATACATTAGAGCTACAAAGGTTTGATTTGTGCGGAATTGTATGCGTCATCCAGAAAAAAAAAACTTCTCTATCTAAAAGAAATATCACAAATGCACAGAGGGTACCTCTCCTACAGTACCCTTTTTACTAATAGTAACTTAGTAACTAGACAATTAAAATTACCCTCTGGCAATAATAATAATAATAATAAACTAAGAATAATAAGAAAATATTGAAGTATAAAGACCTTGAAATCGAAACAGAAAAATATGTGGAAATTGACAACAAGAATAGCACTAATCATAGTAGGTGCGCTTGGAATAATAAAAAAAAGGAACACAACAACACACTGAAGAATTCCTTAAAAAATACCAGCTTAAGAGAAACACATAAAATGTCTTAATAAGTAGAGCCCATTGACTAAGAAGAACTTCACTAAGAAGAACTTTGTCCATGTAAGGCTAGTGATATTATGGGAGTTAGAAAAACAGATCATGAAATGTAGCCATAACAACACACCTCTATCTGCCTTAGGATGCGATGTCAACTCGAACATCCGAAAATTGATAGTCCCCTGGGGTAAGACGATAAACTACGTCCAACAGCAAGACCTCTGATCAGGAGGTTTTGAGAAGCATGGAATCACCCCTTAATTGCTGGTGTTCCCAGGTCCACCCTGAGCCGGGGTGGTAGCACCTGTTAGGGTCCCAGCTATGGGCAAATAGTTAACCCTCAAAATGGTGCCAAAACACTATGAAAGTGTAAAAATACGTTTTAATACCATAAATTCGTTGTAAAAAAGATATTACCTGCAATACATTTTTGTATATAAAAAAAAGTTATTACCAGCAATACATTTTTGAAAAAAATATTACTACCGATGAAATAAAGATTTTGTCGGCATTAAATAATCTATTGGGGTTGATATGCCGTAAAGCAAACCAAACCAAGCCAAAAACCTGGGGTGTATACACACCACATTAAAAATGCTTACAATGTAGCAATTATGTAAAATATTATCGTACTGCTGAAATAAATGTGTTTCATAAAGATATCTTAGCGAAACTTGGAGCTTCTACTCCAGAACAAAGAGACTACTCAAAGGCTTTCATCTTCGCTGTCTGAGACGTATTCTGAGCATCAATTGGTCAAACCGGGTCACTAATGCTATAGTTCTTACCTGTCCCCATTTACCCAGACTATATGCCCTTCTCGAACAGCGCCGGCTCTGCTGGTTTGGACCTGTACACCGTATACGGTATGGGAGGCTTCTGAAGGTTACAGGGAGCTGACGACCGGTAAGAGAGCTCGAGGGTCACCTCATCTTCGCTTCAAGTACATCTACGAATAGGACATGAGGGCAATGGACATGGATATTGAGAGGTGGAAAGCCGTCGCAAACGATCGCTCACGCTGGAGACGCGATTTACACCGAGGGCTGAAGCGAGGAGAGGAAAAACGAAGGCCTGCCGCCGGGGAGAAGCGATCTCGACGGAAAGAAAACGACACGGCGACATCAGGTGGGGAGCATCTTCACATGCATTCGTGGCAATCGAGACTGTCACTCCTGCGTGGGCCTGTACGGCTATAACAAATGCTGTACCGCCATCAGGAACTGAGGCTTAACTCTTTGGTTGCAGATTCAAGGTTTCTCGAGACAGACGGATGTCACATACACATACATATATTGTAAAGTGTAGGTGAAACACACCAATACAATAATAGAGAAAATATTTATATCATAAAAAAAAGCCTCAATATATTTCCATGTGTAGAATTTATCTCTATCTATAAAAGGCAGGATGTGTGTGTGTGTGTGTGTGTGTGTGTGTGTGTGTGTGTGTGTGTGTGTGTGTGTGTGTATCGAATGCACGGCCGCCATTTTCGACGGATTTGCAACAAAATTTACATGCACATGCTCCAAGTTAGCGGGAAGGCCAAGACTGACTTTGTAATACCCAACTCCCACCGATAGTGGAAATAATCGATTTTTTTCATGCTTCTACGGCAGTTTTCATGTAGTTTGAGACCATTTTGTACTGGCCAGAGTGAGAGCCTATAGCTGGCTGCCACGAATAGACAGGAAGAGCTGACTGACACGAATGTTAACTAGCATGCTCGCATGCAAAAAAAAATCGATAGCTGCATTCGTCACAAGTGGGAAAAATTTAAATCTGCATGACACTTTACTCCAATTGGCCCATTCGCTTGCTTTAAAATCAACGTTGATTCTGATTCCGCAGAACTGGGTTGACTGTGAAAAATTAATTCTTTTTTTCATTCGGTTTTTCCAGTTACGAGTCCTTTTTTTTTAAAGCTGATCGTTTTGTGTTCATTTTGTTTAGTTCTTTTTTCGTAACAGATTTAATGTTTAGTATAGAGCTTAGAAAAAATTCGCAGTGTGAGATAGGCAAGAAGTAAGGCATGTAGTAACATCAGCGCGGAAAAGGGCACTTCTTTAAAGGCAAGGAAGGGCAAAAATATTTTAAGTCAAGTGATAGTGATTGCTGTATGAGTCTTACGATTTTGGAATCAAGCACGGACAATGCCGGGCCATGCTGCTAGTATGTAGATACTACATCTGGTAAACTCATAAACACAATACCAAAATAATAATAATAATAATAATAATAATAATAATAATAATACTATAGTTGCATAATACATTTAAGATGCATCAAAGGTGGTCTTAAGTGAAGCACTCTCCTCATCGCAAAATTTCGGGTACTGCATTATACCCGCCTCGAACAGCAACCCTGACCTGATTCCACAAGGATCAGGCCGCTTCTTTGATAGCGT